TTATTTTGATATATCACAGTGAAAGATTTATCGTCCTCTTTTTTTTTTTTTTAAAAAAAAAAAAAAAAAAAAAAAAAAAAAAAAAAAAAAAACCACTACTGAAATAAGACCAGTAAGTGGAAAACCTGGGTCACGCATGGTGGTGCACACCTTTATCCCAGTAACAGGAAGCAGAGACAGATGGACCTCTGAATTCAAGACCAGCCTGGTCTACTTAGATAGGTCCAGCTCAACACAATAAGACCCTGTGTCAAAAAATAAAACAACAACCAAAAAAAATCCCACAAACAAAGAAGTAGAAAACCTGCCTAGATCTATTCCAGTAAGACACTGAAAAGATAGATAGAGATCTGTAATTGAAAAGTACCAAGAACAGTGTCATGGGCAACTCTTACCCCATTTTGTTTTGGTTTTTTGTTTCCCTGTAGCCCCAGCTGGTCTGGAACTCACAATGTAGATCAGCCTGGCCTTGAACTCACAGAGATCTGCCTGCCTCTGCTTCCTGGGTGCTGGTACTTCACTTTCATTTATTGAGGCAGGGCTCTCCTGGAACTTGGAGCTAGCTGATTCAGGTATTTTAGCATTTCCAGGGGATCCTGTCTCTACCTCCCAAGCACTAGGATTACAGATGGATCCCTACACTGACCTAGATTTTACATGGGTGCTGGGGAATCAAACTCCGGTCTTCTACAAATGCAGTAAGTGCTCTTAACTGCTGAATCATCTCTCCAGCCCTCCTAATCATCTCTCCTTAGCCCGCCTCTAAGCACAGAGAGAGACAACTTCCCAATTATTTATTTATTTAAACTTTTTTTCTCTTTTTGAGATAGAGCTCCTTATAGCCTTTTATGTGTGGGAGTCAGAGAACAACTTGCAGGAGTTGGTTCTCTCCTTTCAGCATGTCAGTTCTGGAATCAAACTCAGGTTGTCAACTCGGCATCCAGCACCTATACCCACGGAGCCATCTCACCGGCCCTGCCGTACAGTTTTTGGTCATCGTATAACTAAATCCAGAGTATATAATTAATACTTAACGGAATTTACTGTCTTTGACCCTCTATTGAGGCTCTTTAGACTCCTTTGACTTTAGTCTACAGATCCTCCTTTTTTATAAAATTGTTCCTTTCTAACCCTTAAGTCTGTGATGGAACTTTCTGTAGACCTTCATAGGCTAGAAAATCCATATAACCCCTTGTGGGAACCATGTAGATTTTCTGGAAGGGCATATGAATTATAGAAGGCACCCTCTTGGGAAGGACCTTTTAGAGCACAGCATCCCTCTGGACAGACAAACAAAACCCATAGGGGTGAGATTTACCTGGGATCCATCCTCGGTTTCAGCCCCTACTGTTGACAGTATGGGCATCTCTGCAGCTCTGAGATGGCACTAGGATTGTGCTGTAGTTTCTTGACCAGTCTGAAGGTTAAAATTTGGGGGGCAGGGGTCGCTGGAGAGATGACTTAGTGGTTAAGGGCACTGGCTGGTCTTGCAGAAGACCTTGATTCAAATCCCAGCACTCAGATGGTGGCTAACCACTGTCTGTAAGGCTAGTTCCTAGAGATCTAATGTCCTCTGCAGGCACTGCACAACACAGGTACACTTACATACATGCAGGCAATACAGTCATACACATAAAAAATAAAATTTTAAAATTAATTTATAAGCCAGACGTGGTGGTGCACACCTTTAATCCCAGCACTTGGGAGGCAGAGGCAGGTGGATCTTTGTGAGTTCGAGGCCAGCCTGGTCTACATAGTGAGTTCCAGGCCAGCTGGGGCTACAAGGAGACCTGTCTCACAAAGACCAAAAAAAAAAAAATTTAATTTATAAAAAATAATTTAAAAGTTTTAAGTCCTATTTGTTAAAATTTTTAGTTTTAGGAAACAGACAGAGGATCACTGGGAGTTCCAAGCCAGGCTTCTCTATAGAGTAAGTTTAGGGGCACATAGTATGACCCCATCTCAAAAAGTAGTCATGGATAGTTTAAGTCTTTGTTCTTTATTTGCCTGCCCTTCTCATTCAGCCTAGGTACAACTCTCCTAGCAGTCCTGCACAGGCCAGTCCCAACCTCAGACCTGTGTGCTGAAAGCCCCATCTCACCCATAGCCTGCGACCAACTTCCCAGCACGTGCCTGGCAGGTTCTCCCCACTTTTCATTGGGTGTGTGATGCATCTTCAGAGGGACCAAGAGACCAAGAGGTCAATCTGGCCTTAAATCCCACGTATTGTTTCACAGTGGGCTCAGACCCAGAATTTGCACGCTATGTGGCTGGAGTGAGTCAAGCGATGCAGCAGAAGCGTCTAGCCCAACACAGTCGCCGACCAGGCAACCCCCGGAGCAATTGGCCACCCATGGATGATTCCCATCGGACCTGGCCTTTGCCAGAGTTCTTCACAGAAGGGTGAGTGCTGGGTACAGTAAGGAAGTCAAATTTGGAGTCTGGGTGTCCCATTTGCCCATGTAAAGAGGGAGACTTGGCCATGGTGTGTTCTTATCAGGCCCCCACGAGTGATGTGGTTAGATCTTCATGGGGAGGCTGGGTGTGGTGGCACATGACTTTAATACCAGCACTCAGGAGGCAGAGATAGGACATATGTCTGTGAGTTTGAGGCCAACCAAGGCTACATAGTGAGACTGTATCTCAGAGAACAAAACAAAACAAATGGGGACCATTTCCTAAATACAGGATGCCAAGTAGTATGATGTGTCTTCATAAATATACCAGTGCTATAAAGGAGTAATTTGAGATAGCCTCTTCTACCTAGAACAAGGCTCTTACTTGATAGTAATTGTAAAGTAACTATTTCATGTGGTCTTTATACTGAAATGAGACTGGGTATGAAACCTACCTAAGTTATGGAACACTATCATGATAGCCTCCAAAAGGCAAATGTAGGACTGGGAATATAGCTCAGTGTTACTGTACCTGCCTAGTATATGCAAGGCCCTGGGCTCAGTTCCCCAGCATCACAAAAAACAAAAAAGCAAAGACAGACTACAGCTCAGATTTCAGTGTATTGAGAGAACTATGAGCTGGGTATGGTGGTATGCACCCATAATCCCAGCACATGGAAGTCATGTGTTCAAGGTAGCCTAGGTACATAGCCTAGGTTACATGTTCAAGGCCAGCCTAAGCTCCATATTGAAGCCATATCTCAAAAGGAGAAAAAAAGAGAATTGTGAATTCACATCCCATATTGCTCTCTGGTTAATAAATCTGGATGGTGGAAAGAACATCACTGGGTTTCCTCTAAAATAAGGTGTATGTACCAACCATAGGCTTCTGAGAACAATAAACGAAGTAATGACTAGTACTTTTGAAAGGAAAGGGAGAGAAAGGAAATTTTTGAAGGGAATGACTGAAGAGTTCATTTCGGGTGTATGGAATTGAGGGTGAGGCTGCTGGGGAGACCTGGGATCATCTTCTCTGCTGCTTTCAGGGACAGCCTACACGGTGGCTGGTCGGGCACTCAGGCCGACTCTGCCAGCTCCAGTGACGAGACCTCTTCAGCCAACGGGGACAACCTGTTCTCCATGTTTTCAGGGCCTGACCTTGTTGCTGCAGTGAAGCAGAGAAGGTAAGGAGATTGCTAAACCAAGGACTGGAGAGCAGGGCATGTGCCGATGCACAGCTCTGCCTCTGGGAAAGCCAGCAGCCCTGTTGATGCCAGCCTGGCCTGAGACAGATGGAGTGGCTCTTCCAGCACTGCTGGACAAAGGCCTCTGGAGGGCACCTTCAGGAGGTGACTTCCACAAGGAAGAGCTGGCCTGGTGTTGCAAGGCCTCTGAGGGGCCACCACGGGCTTCTTGTGGCTAAAGGCTGTGATGTTGGCAGTAGGCTGCATGTGAGAGTGAAGGAGGTCACCTCTGGGTTCTGACACTTGCATAACCAGAGTATTGCTCAGAGCTGCTGTGTCCTGCCTTTTTTCTTCAGCAATGTAAAGCTAACATGCTTTAAAAAAAAAAAAAAAATTCTTTGATAATTTCATGCATGTGTACAGTGTATCTTGATCATAGTCAACACCCCAATTCTTTTTTTCAGTATTTATTATTTTATGTGTATGAGTGTATTGCCTGCGTGTATGTGAGTGCACCTGTGTCGTGCAATGCCACGGAGGTCAGAAGAGGGCTTCGGATTCCCCTGGAACTGGAGTTAAGCATAGTTCCTAGCTGCCATGTGGGTGCTAGGAATCAAATCTGGGTCCTCTGCAAGAGCAGTCAGTGCTCTTAACCACTGAGCCATCTCTCCAGCTCCTCAACCCCTGCAGTTCTTAAAATTTATTTTATGTGTATGAATATGTTAAGCACACCCGTGTCATGCAGTGCCTGTGGAGACCAGAAGAGGGCATCAGATCCCCTGGAAATGGAGTTAAGGACTGTTGTTGGCCACCATGTAGGTGCCCAGAACCAAACCTGGGTCCTTTACAAGAGCAGCCAGTGCCCTTAACCGCTGAGCCATCTCTCCAGCTTCCCCCTTCACCCCAATTTTTTGGGGGGTCTTTTTGAGACAGGGTCTCCCCGTAGCCCCAGCTGGCCTGGAACTCACTATGTAGATCAGGCTGGCCTTGAACTCACAGAGATCTGCCTGTCTCTGCCTCCCAAGTGCTGGGATTAAAGGGGTTCCCCCCCCCCCCCGGTTTCCCCCCCCTTTTTTTTTTTTTTTGTCTTTTTGAGACAGGGTCTCCCCGTAGCCCCAGCTGGCCTGGAACTCACTATGTAGACCAGGCTGGCCTTGAACTCACAAAGATCTGCCTGCCTCTGCCTCCCAAGTGCTAGGACTACAGGCATGCGCCACCATGCCCAGTTTACCCCAAATTTTTAAGGTTGTATTTTTAATTTTGTATATGTAGGTATGTACATGTAAGTACAGATCCTCTTAGAGGTCCAGGAGAGGGTGTCAGAGCCCTTGGAGCTGAAGCAGCCTTACATAGGTGCTGGGAACTGAACTCAAGTCTTCTGGAAGAATAGCAAATGCTTTTAGCCATTAAGCTGTCTCTCTAGCCCCCCAAAACTTTTTTTTTAAAGTCTCATACATCCTGAATGTATGGTGAATGCTTTCAATGGCTATTGAAGAAACTAATGAGAAGGCAAGGCTGATATACTCAGAGCTACTGAAAACTCCACACGGGCTGCACCCCACACCTGTCTATACTGGATTTACTGGCATGCTGGCTCCCTTGTCCCACTGACCTTGGTGGACTCACCTAGGGTCGTCACCTAGCCTCCTCACACAGTGAAGCCGGCCAGAAAGCCAGGAGGCCACTGCTCTGAGCTCTTGATTCTTTCAGGAAACATAGCAGTGGAGAGCAGGAAACCAGCACGCTGCCCTCACCACCTCTCCTGACCACAGTGGAGGACATGAACCAGGTATTGTGGGGGACCTTGGCCTTCAAAGTCATAAAGGGTTGTTTTTTAAAAAAGAATACTTTGTTATTTTTAGACTATGTGTATGAGTGTATTGCCTGTATGTAGGTAGATGCACCATGTTGTGCAGTGTCCATGGAGGTCAGAAGAGGGCATCAGATCCCCTGGAACTAGAGTTTTGGACAGTTAGCCACTATGTGGGTGCTGGGAATAGAACCTAAGGCCTCTGCAAGAGCAGCCTGTGCCCTGAGCCAACTCTTTAGCCCTTAAGGGGTTGTCTTTGTGACAAATTATTTTCTCATCATTTTGTCTAAATGATGAGACAAGTGATGATCTCAGCTGACTCAGCCACATGTAAACTATAAGGGCTATACTTGTGAACTGTAAATATAAGGAATGTACATCAGTGGTAGAATGCTTGCCTCAGGTATGAGCATGAAGTCTTGTGTTTTATGTCCATACTGCAAAAATTTGACATATATGTAAGCATAAATGAATGTACACCTACAAATTCAGTTATTCAGTTGGACTAGTGAAGGGCTATTTTGTTGAATCATGCAGGCATTGTGCTCTGATGTCATTTAAGAAGCTCTTCTGCACCAGGCTTTCTATCAGAGACTGGTGCTCCCACCCTGCCTGCTAGGTAGAAAGAAGGGTGGGAGGTTTGGGGAGGTGGGACAAGATAACTCATCAGAAATGGTACTAAGAACCCTCTTCTGTTCCTCAGGATAACAAAACCAAAACGTGGCCACCCAAAGCACCGTGGCAGCACCCTTCCCCTCTGCCCAGCACGCTGCCCAGCCCAGGTGCACCTCTCTATGCAGTCGCCAGTCCCGGCAGCCAGTGGAATGACACCATGCAGATGCTGCAGTCCCCTGTGTGGGCTGCAACCAGCGACTGCAGCACCGCCTCCTTCACCTATGTGCAGAGCCCACCACAGCCCCCACCCCCACCAGCACACAAAGCAGCACCCAAGGGCTTCAAGGCCTTCCCTGGGAAGGCTGAGCGCAGGCCAGCCTACTTGCCCCAATACTGACCACAGCTAGCCTGCCTGCTCCTCAGAGCTGTTAGGGCCAGTGTCCCCAGGGATGACTAGCTGGGACCAGACCCCAAGAGGACCAGTGCAGCCCTGTCTCAGGGAGGGGAATGTTCCTTGGGGTCAGGGGTGGTTGGCAGCTCCAAGTCTTTTAAAGTCTGGCTTCTCAAACATCAAAGGCAGCAGACATCTGGGAGCCAGCTGCAGGTGGAGATTTATGATGCTCAGGGGGATGCTGGCTAATCTGTTTGCTTAATAAGCACCTCAGGTGACCCTGATGCTGTTGGCCAGGGCCACACTTGGAGAGACAGTCCTAATGTCAGCTCTGCATATTGGGAAGGCTTGAAGCCTACAGGGTGAGAGCAAACTGACCATTCTTGAAACCCTCTTCTGCTCTTTACACACTGGCTGGGGACCTCCACCTATCACTGATTGTATAGCTATTTTTCATGTAGATTTTCAGTTACAATGTCTCCTGCCTAAAATGCATTGGCTATTTTAAGATCCCAGATACACTAATACACTGGCTGGAGAGGTTAGCTCAGCACTGTCTTTGTTGAAGCTTATACAAAATACTAGTGATCAGAAGCAGTCAGCTGGCTTTCTGTGGGTGGGCAGCCCCTCTCAGCCCAGAAGCCCCCAAGGGTGCAGGCTTCACGAGAATTGAGGAACTCCTGTTGGAGGTGTATTCCTCAGAGTGCAGAGGAGCCCGCTGGCCCCAGTGGCATGCAGAGGAGAGCGGTGCCTGCTGCCCTCAGATCCCTTCACACATGGCCAAGGCCTCACCATGGTCCTCAAAGGGAGGAACTGGGAAGGGGCTGTACCAAGACCCCCATTCTCAAAACCACAGTGACATTTGCAAGCTGGCTCAAAAGACGGACGAATTACCATGTAGACAGGATCTCAAAATCTTTCTTTAAACAGCAACAACAAAAAAATCCACCTCATTTTCAGTTAACATGTGCCATTAAACAGAGAACATACTGTGGATTTAGGGATATTTTCCAGCCAGAATGGATCCAGAAGAATTGAATGGTGCTTAAATTGAGAAATAATAATAAATATATCTATATAGATAGATATCCCATTGTATATTGAGGTTGCAGAAAGTTCTTTATATAAAGCTTATTTAAAATTTTCATATTTCATCTTTGGAAACATCTAATTGAGAAAAATCCATGATATTTTCTGGTATGAAAGTTTGACAGTATTAATATTTTTTTTTATATTTTCTTAAATCATTAAACCATTTTAATATATGTTAACTACTAATAAATGGTTTATTCTTTATAACTCCATATAAACTTTTCCAATGAAGATTGTAATAACACATTTATGTTCTCATTTTTCTACAGATAAATTTATATTTAAAAAAAACCAAAAAGAATATATATGGACACACACCACACATGCACACACACACACTACACACATAATTATAGAGGACCCTTAGGGTGCCTGAGCCCAGCCACCTGAGTTTTTAGTACTGTGTCTCCAGGCTGTTCCAGGCCTCGGGTGTTGTCTTTTGTGCTGTGTGGGGATACCATTGCTGCCTGTACTGACGATCCTTCACCATGGGTTCGGAACATTCACCTCACCATGTTTACAGAGAACTATTTTGTACATAGAGTTTTCAGGCACGTGCTTTGCAACAACCCTGCGTGGCTCTTGTCTGTGTTAGCTGTCACAGTGTGCACACTAATCTCTCTGTTCAAAGTTCTTTGTGGCTGTTTTACTTGTAAGATAGTTTTCTATTCCCTTCAGCGATGTGTCCACAGTACCCTGTATTTCCAGTTCTAATATACTGAAGTACTCTTGTTTTAATAGTGCCTCCCCGAAGACCTCACCCTGGACCGAGGACAGTCCTCGATGCCCCAGTGCAGGTGACATTGCTAATTGTCACTCTCCAGTCTGTTTTCTCTATTAAGGAAGACATTTTGTAACTGCATCTCCATGGCTGTGAGACTGTGTGAAACCGTTTGTGTAGTCTCCATGTAGGTGCTGTGTTTCCAGCACCGCCTTGCTCTGAACACTGGTAATTCCAGGTGCTGCGCTTGGCAGAGATGTCTCGCCAAAGCGCATGTATGTGCGTGTGTGAGTGTGTGTCCTTTGCATGGCCGGGCATGGCTGCCTTGCTCGGGCATCAGCAGGACATCGTGTGAATAGTTACAACGCTTCCAAACTGGAACTCTACGTTTTGTATCTTACTTTTAAAGCTCCTATAAGTAAAATAACTATTGGCTTTATTAAAAATATACATTTAATAATATTCTGTATCTTTATTTTTGTTTGTTTGGGTTTTTTGTTTTGTTTGGTTTTTGTTTTTGTTTTTGGTCTATTTGAGACAGGGTCTCCCTGTAGCCCCAGCTGGCCTGGAACTCTCTATGTAGACCAGGCTGGCCTGGAACTCACAGGGATCCATCCACCTGCCTCTGCCTCCTGAGTGCTGGGATCAGTGGCATGCACCACCATGCCTGGCTTCTGTATCTTTGTTTAAAATGAACTGTAGCAGACATGTCAGAAGTATTGTGTGACTCACACTTTGCAAAGCTGTGCACGAGTTGGTTTTTAGGTTGGCTTGTCCTCTGACTTCGAGACGTTCCAAGGGGGATTGAACAGGCAGCACAGCCAGTCACAGCCCTCTCATTGGCTTCCTAAGCCACAGCTGGTTTAGACCTCGGCATGCACAGTGGAGCCAGAGTAGAGGTGGGAGAGACTGTCCTCTAGAAGGATGCAGGCTCTCTCTGGGGTAGGTTCCTCTAGTACCATCCTCCCACCATGTGGAGTGCTGTGACCTGCTCCAGCAGCCTTCCCAAGGAGCAGATCCAGGGCTGAGGACTTGTTCTGCCCTCTTCTCTTCCAGGAACCTAGTTTACGATGAGAAATCTCACTGAACTCATCTGTAATTCCAGTACTTGGGAGACTGAGACAGGAGTACTGAGAATTTAGGGTCAGCCTAGGCAATTTAAAAAGAGCCTGTCTCAAAATTAGAAAGCCAGGCATGATGGTGCATGCCTGTAATCCAGCATTTTGGAGGTGGAGGCAGGAGGATCAGGTCAAGATCATTTTGACTACATAGTTCAAGGCCAGCCTAAACTACATGTGACCCTTTCTCAAAAACAAATAAATTAGCCGGGCATGGTGGCACACGCCTTTAATCCCAGCACTCGGGAGGCAGAGGCAGGCAGATCTCTGTGAGTTCAAGGCCAGCCTGATCTACAAAGTGAGTTCCAGGACAGCTGGGGCTACAGAGAGACCCTGTCTCAAAAAGAAAAAAAAAAAAAAAAAAAAAAAAAAAAAAGAAAATAGAGGAAATTGGGATGCATTTCAATGGTAGAACGCATGCTTAGCCTGTCCAAGGCCCTAGATTCTGTCCTGAGTGCCAATAAGTACTCTTAGCAGGAAAACAGAACATTCACCTTACTCAAGTGTGTTCCTATATAACCCAAGTACCTAGTGGTGTTAACTGCTTCAATTTAGCACAATGGTGATGCAAGGTAGCCTGCCACATTCTAGATGGTGGGGTGGAAAGAGAGATGTTACACCCTTAAGACCCTCTACCCCAGCCCATCCAAGAAATGGAGGGGAGCATGCTGGCAGTCGAGGTACTTAGGAGCGTATGACCTTCCTTTCCCTCTTGTGGAGTTCCTGCATCTTGTCAGCCATGCTGTTGACTCACTTTGTGCTGTGTGGGCCACTCCACCTGATGTGGGGCAAAGGAGAAATAAACCAGTGTTCAGCTCCAAGACTGTCAAAAGTCCAGGTAGGTGGGCAGCATTGTTACCAGCTTGGGGTTGAGAATGGTCATCTAGGTGTTATGATTAGATCTGTTTTCTCAGCCAATTAAAGAGTTAAAAAGCAGGAAAAATCTTGAGACACAGCAGAGAGCAGATGTTACTAAAAGTAACATGCACACATAAACAAGTGGAGAGGGGAACTGGAAATGGAATCAACTTAAAGAAGAGAGCTCCTAGGTCACAACTCCAAGCTGCCAGGTCTGACCTTGGTCTTACCTAAACAGATCTGGACCAGCCAGCCAGCCAGAAAAGGGGCCTGCCAGCAGGAGAAAAGCCTGCCAGGTTTGTCTCAGAAGAGGCAGAAGGAGTGCCATCTTCATGACTCCTCCATGGCCCTGCTTGCTTATTTGGGATTTAGTCTCCTACAGCATGAGCCCAAGGAACAAGCCTGCAGGGCCAGGTTCCCCGAAGTGACCAAGGAGCTGGTCTTAGAATTCAAGGGAGGAGTGGCTGTATTTTTGTTGGTTGCTGAGTTGGGAATATGGGGGAGGTGACAGGATTGTTTCAGGAGTATCAGGCTCATTTTCCAGCTGTTAGGCCCTTGCTAGAAGGCAAACTTGTCAAGAGCTCGTGGTTCTTGCTCTCTCCAAACAAACCTATTTTTCCCTCTTTGGTAAGAATACCAACAACCAGGGTAGAAAACTGATTTTTCCTTTATTCTCATTCAGTAAATCAGCAGGTCCTTTAAGAGTGTCTCCAAGTGGGGCTGGAGAGATGGCTCAGTGGTTAAGACCACTGGGCTGCTCTTGCAGAGGACCTAGGTTCAGTTCCCAGCACCCACATGGTGGCCATGCCCACTTCTGGTCTCCACAGGCATTGCACACATGGGTGCACCTATATACATGCAGGCACTACACTCATGACATCAAATTTTTAAAAATGGCTCTCATACTGAACTAAAGGAATTGACCACCAGAATTGTAGACCTGGGAAAAAGAATTAACATTGCCAGCTTTACATCAGAATACCTGGCGGTTTTGTTTCTGAGTGAGGGTCGCACACTGTAATCCACACTGGACTAGAACTCACTACATAGCCCAGGCAGGCATCAAACTGGCAGTGCTATTCCTGCCTCAGCCTCCCCAGGGCTGGGCTTACAAGAATGACCAGCTGCCACACACTTCACGTTTACGCCTGGCCTGTCCACCTGCACCCCCCCCCCGAGCATGCGCAGAGGCACACACTATGTCCCTCCCAGACGTGCAGATCCAGACATTTTCCAACTTGCCTCTCCACCCAGCCCCAACCTGCGCAGGCACGTGCGCACATGCGCTCGCCCTGCCCCCTCTCCGGACGTGCTGGCCCACACGCCGCTCGCCGGGTACTGCGCGTGCTCGCGTCCTTCGTATTTCCCATCCCCGGAGAGTGACTCAGCAGCTCGGTGCCGGGCGTCCCCGCTCCGGGATCCGTCGCGGGCGGGCAGGCGGGCGGGCGTGCCCACCCTCCCCCCTTCTTTGGAGTTGAGCCGGCACAGGTCGCAAAGTGCTAGTTTTGTTACCAAGGCAGTCTTGCAGGGAATTAGCGACTGTTCCTGGACCTTATAGACTTACCTCTCCTGGCAGCTCCTCTGGTCCGGCCTTGCCGCCTTGCCGAAGGCACTGGAGACTGGATGGAGCAGGATCTCTTAGGCTTTCAGAGCCAGGTTTTCTATAGATTCTTCTTAGCCCCTCAAGGAGGCTCTCTGCCCCAGGGTCCTGGCCCTTCCGAAGTCTTTGTGGTTTGCAGTACTTGGCATAACATGCCCTGGCTGTTGTGATAGGAATAGAAGACAGGGTTTAGTATTTTTTTCAAAATATAAAATTCCTTACGCTGGCTCTTTTCCAAACTATACATTACACTCCACTCCCCAAGAGTTGATGGGGAGCTAAGCGTGGGGGTCACCTGTAATCCCAGCATTTGGGAGTTGGAGGCCAGATTGGGCTACATGGCAACACCCTGTCTCAACCTGCCCCCACCCACCACCATTCCAAAAAAGGAGCGAGAGAGGCAATGCACAGACACTGGTGACTGCTCAGCGTCCCGGGTGCTGCCTCTCCTCTGGTGGACATCTTTATGCCCAGAGGTCCAGGGACAGTGTTGATTCAGTCTGACTGGATTTTCTTACCTCTGCTGCTGTCTTTTTTTTTAGGCTTTTGATTAATACTGATCTTTTGTTCTATTTGGGAGAGGAAGGTGGTCTGGGGATGGAACCTAAGACCTTAGCATGCTAGACAAGCGCTCTGTTGCTGAGCAACTTTCCTCAGGCTTGCTTCCTCCAGGCTGGATACCACTTTGTATACCAGGCTGGCTTGGAACTTGCAATCCTGAGTGCAGTGAGTACAGATGTGCACCACCACGCCTGAACTGTTTTACTATTTATTTATTTATTTATTTATTGACAGGGTCTCAGTATGTATCCCTGGCTGGCCTCACACTCACAGATACCCACCAGCCTCTGCCTCCACCTTTTGAGGGCTGCAATTAAAGGTGTGCCCAACCATGCCGGCTTTCATTTATTTATGTGTATGAGTGTTTTGCCTGCATATATGTAAGTACACCAAGTGCATGCAATGCCCATGGAGGCCAGAAGAGGGCATCAGATTCCCTGGAACTGGAGTTACGCAGGAGTTTGTAAGCCACCATGTGGGTGCTGGGAACCAAACCTGGGTCCTCTCTTTATAAGAGCAGCACGTGCTCTTAACACTTAGCCATCTCTCAAACCCCATGTTCTACTATTTGTGTTTGCTTTACTGTGTCTGGCCTAAGACTCTCCAGGTAGAAAGCTAGTTTTTTGCTAAGAATGCGAAAGGGGAAATCTTTAGAACAGTAAATCATCAGAGACCTCACCTCATGCCCCTTCTTCAATATCTAAAGCTGCTTTGATGACTTTTGATAAACAGAAGATGACACTGGAGAAGATAATGTGGTGATGAACAGGTAGGCAAAATACCCCTAAAATCTTCAGCAAGACTTGAGAGTTTATAGCCATGTGTGTTGGTATACCTATAACCTCAGCAACTCAGGGGGCTGAGGCAGGAGTTTGAGGCCAGTGTGGGCTACGGAGTTTAAAGCCAGCCTAGCTGGGTGTGTTGGAAGCATGCCTTTAATCCCAGTGGAGGCAGGCAGATCTTTGTGAGTTCCAAGCCAGATGAGGCTACAGGGAGACCCTGTCTCAAAAATACAAAAACAAAACAAAACAAACAAACAAAAGAAAAGGGCTGGAGAGATGGCTTAGAGGTTAAGAACACAAGAACACTGGCTGCTCTTGTAGAATACCCAGGTTCAAATCCCAGCATCCATATGGTGGCTAACAACCATCTGTAACTCCAGTTCCAGAGATCTGACACCCTCTTCTGGCCTCTGTGGGCATTGCACAACATGGGTGCACTTACATGCAGGGATAACACTCATACACATAAAATAAATAAATAAAACAAAAGACTTAGAGTTGTAAAGGACAGCTCAAAACAACATAAAGACTAAGAGGAACCCT